TTGTTGCAGAGCTGTCTTATGAAAGGAAGTGAACGTTTCTGGCGCTGCAATAATTTCCTATGCTTCGAGTATCGCCTTTGTTGTGAAAGGAACAAAACGACAAGGCTGTACACTAAATTCCTACTGAAAAAGGGAAAATCGGATTTGGTCTGCAGAAAAATCAGATCAAGCCTGGTATGAGAGTCCACAATGTTTTCGAGGTGCAGATCCAGGTATAGAAATTGGTATTTGAAAATCAGAGGTATTATTTGCACCGAAACCCAAGGTAGCTGCAACATGTCACTACCCTCCTCTGTTGTGTCGTACGATAAAGTGATTGTAATTCTGTTTGTATCAGCAGCCGACTACCAACCTACACGGTTGCCACTTGAGTCGCCAGAAAACTGCAGTCGCAGGAGGTGGCGTCCTCAGATAATTATCAAAATTCAAGCTGCGAAAGAAGGCGATCACCAATTCACAACACTCATTCATCACTCTTACTGCGACTGATACAGTTTTAAGTTCACTGTAAACTGGACCTAGATTCAAGTCTCCGACTGCTACGGCCTGGTTGGGCCGACTATTCCAGTCGACCTGCTTCTTAGGCGCAAATCTTCCCCTGCTAAAAGTTGCTCGTGTTTATACCCTTGTTAGTGTTGATCTAAGCCAGCGTTGTAAGTGCATGTGACAAAACAGCTCACTATAATTGTCACATTTGACTTAAGGTATGTATTTAAGTAAATAAGTAATATGTAAGTAAAAAAAGTCAGCTCAGTAGCTACGTCTACTCCTCAGCTCTTTACGCGTGCACCTCCTATGCTGCATGCGTGATACGAATCTGAGACTACAACGGTTTACCCTGGACTAAGAAGGCTACCAGTTGACGCATTTACTAGACACACTATCAACCCAGTGCGTGCTTAGTGGCTGATGACTGGACTGGGAATCAGACAGCTCATCCCAAACATCTGGTTGTGTGTCAAGGGGGTCGGGTCCTGCTGTGGCGCGCGCAGACGGCTTTGCCGGTCCCTTCAGTCACTGCACCCACCTCACAACAGAAAATCGACAGGCTGACTCGCAGATTGACAGTCAGGCTGTAATGGCTCATTCTCACTGTGGCTTTTATGGTACTCCCATACAGCTGGGATCTGAGCCAGGTGTGGCAGCACGCGCATGGGTGGCCTAGGCGGCGTTAGCTACCTGCGTCTGATCCCGTCTTCGGCCTTCTTCACTGCGTCTTTACACCGAGCACATGTGGTAGAGAGAAGAGAGAATGTGAGGTAGACGCAACGCCAGTATACTATATCTTAACACTTATTCACGCGCAAGTCACCGTCCCTGCACCAGCCTGTTGTGAAGCATATGGTGGACATCCTCGAAATCGATTGCGTGGATTTCAAAGCGGCGCATCAAGGAAAAATCAAACGTTATCATACCCTTTGAATAAACGCTACGCAGGCGTCGATCTGGGGTTCAAACGATGGGTCTCTCTAGTCTGTAGGTGAGCTATGACTGGCTGGCGGGCGGGCTGGTGTGGATAAAGGCAAAAATGGTTGTCAATAGTATTTGTCAAGCCCAATGAACTTTCATATTTCCTCTTGGATTTCGTCTTCCAAAATGTACGATCACAAAGTAAAGGAGGCCCAGTTACTGGCAATTGGTCTCAAATGATGTCCGGGCTGCCGCAAATGTAGCGTCGACTTCTGCAATACGGCACGCAGAAAAGGTAAAGGACAAGGGGTGCCGTAATTTTTTTGCCCGCTGGGCGGACACAAAGTATTTCACGGAGGCCACCTTAGAGAGTTAACCGCCTTCCGCTGGCACTATAGCCAGTGTTCATAAGACGTTAGTTTAGGTATCACACAGTTGACCCGACCCTGACCTCGCGTTCTTCAGGCCAGAAGACTAGTGGCCCTAGAGAGCAACACGCACTGGTTTACAAAGCGCCGAGAAATTATGAGATAAGCTACTTGGTTTATGGCAAAAGCCTAGGAAAATAAACGTTTAAAGCAACGGTAGAAATTTTGCACATGCGAAATACGCATATCCTAGGATTTATATCTGTTGGTGGTCTGGGTTTGGTAGTTTCAAAGACTATGCGCCAGAAAAGTAGTACGCTTCGAAAAATAGAATAGGAACCCTCCAATTTCCTGGTAATAGAGGGTGTGAAAATCCATTTGTAGGTAAATATTATCGAGGCAGAACCCTAAAACTAACTCCTATTCAAACCCGAACCCAGCCGTAATCCTAACCCCCACAATAACCTTAATTTTGTTGACCCAGTTGTGAAAAACTCGCGGCATTCAGCGGGATTTTAGCCCGCATAGTAGGGAAGGCCTTAACGCGAAGTCAATGCTCCGACATTTGAGCTACAAATGATATGCCTAGCACCGTGAGTTCAATCACACTTTGATCGATTTTACCCGCCCAACTATATCGCTCTTATGGAATCCACCAAGCTGACTGCCCAAGCAGGATTTCCCAAGCAATTGCCTAGAATCCACCAGAATGACTACTAGGCTGAATTTATCATTTCACAATTGGGTCAACTAAATTAAGCAAATCTGCCAAACCTCCTAAATAACTTAAATTTTCTTGAAAATTAACGCAAGGTTCCAATTGTCGTGCCTCATCGACGAAATTACGGGACTCTGGGAGAAAAGACTAGCCACACACTTAACCGACAGTATATATAAGTGGACGCCAATGCCTGCCGTGTGAATGTCTGCAGTGACCACACTAATTATTAAGTGGAAACCGGCCGCCGACTAGACGACTTCTGCGATACTATAAAGAACAGGAACTACTACTTACAAAATCACAAAACACTTCAATAAAATACAGAACAGTAAAAAATATGCAGGCTGTACGGCCAAACGGTAGATTTCTCAGGAACGTTTAGGCCTTCAGAACGTCTGGCGCGTCTCGCGCTATGCTTTGACCCACATTAACTAATAAGATAGGACTGAAACGAAATCACACAGAGGAACAAGCACCCACATCAGGTGGATAATGGAACCTGTGGAATGCAGAAAGACACAACTAGGAAAGTTCTTTAGGGTTGGGCTCCGCAGCTCAAGCTAAGCGCCACCACAATAATGCATGTCGCGAGCATGCGACCTGAAGATGTGGCATCTTCAGCTGATTCTCACGTTCGTAAATGCTCACTTTAGTCCTTCAGTCAAGAGAGGCCAGCACATGCCGCTACACTGTCATATATTACTCTTTTCCTCCACACACGTGAAACCTGAACGAGTGTTCCACTAAGACTGGGTGGAGGGAGCAGGGCAACTTCCTTGAGTAGGAAATAGAAACTAGTTAAAAAAGGACATTCAGAGCGTTGGAGTACTAACCAATAGGTTACGAGTTAGAGACCTCGAGTGTCGAAATACCTTCCGGTATTTATGGCTGGTTGATAACGGCCAACAAGCCAGAAATTGCTATTCCAGTCTCCCTATTCTTTGTCAGTGATATACATTACTGCCGATAAACGACAAATGTCGAAATAAGAGAGACTTTTAAGGAACTCGGGACGGTATTCTCGGGCAAACCAGCTTACCTGGGGATTAACAGCCAAACCATTACGTGAAGCCTGTTTTTGGGCAAGCTTATGCAGCACGGCACAGGCATCATACTGATTTTCAGGAGAACTACCAGCATCCAGGAGTCGTGTCAACTTGTGCACATTGTTAGCCGCGGCAGTAGCGTCATTCTGGCAGCGGAACAAAAAACAAGCAGAAAATCAAACTCAAGTAAGACAGACACAAATGTAGATGGAGGCGTAGGCCATTAAAATGATGCCAGTGGATATTCGAATAACATTAACGAAAGGCAAGCATTAATCAGGCAGTTCTTTGAATGCAGACAGTTGGTC